AGTGCAAGTCTGTGCCCCTGCAGGACACGCTTTAGGCTCTAGAGGGGGCCGCATTAACAAAACACTTTTCCTGCTAATGATGTTCTTGCTTCGAAACCAGAGGAACGCACTGCGACCAGATATACCCCCTCAGCAGAGCTGCGGCCTCAGGAATCCCAGCTGTGCTGAACCTCCTGTCATTTTAGGGATATTTCCACTTTCTCTAATCCTGTGATCCAGCATGGCACTAATTGCCTGAGACTTGGGAAATCCTGTGATCTGCCAGCAAATCTGCAGGTATCGGTGGTCACTGGTTTCCAGACAGCGACAACAGTATGCTCCCGGACATTTGTTTCCCCTGTTCCCTGCGTGTGCACGTGAGGACATGGAGGAAGGAGAGCAGCTCCAGTGTGGGGCTGAAGGCCAAACCCAGGAACTCCAGAGTACGCCCGGGACCCGGAGTCCAGGGGTCACCACAGTGACCCCTGTACTGCTACCAGCCTGCAGTACATACACAGCCAGGCAACTGATCATCTCCCCAGGTCAGCCACAGCGCAGGCAGTCTAAGATGGAGATGTCTAGTCAAATAATGTCATCCCCCTAGCAGGTTAGATACTTACCTTTTCCCATACACGCACTTTCTTCCCCTCTCCCCAAACCTTGGACCATTTTTTGTGAAACACTCAGCTCCTCTCTGACATGAAGGAGGTTTTCAAACTCCCCCGAGTCAAAATATGGCTCTTCCACTTCCCTTATTTAAGCAGATCGGAGAGCAAAACCCAGCATCTTCCTTATTGCCTGTTTCGCTGTTGCAGCACAGCTGCAGCGAGCCTCCCTCCTGCGCAGGTGACTGCAATTACTGCCAAGGAAAGGGACTAGAGAGGATAAGCACTTTACGCAGCTCCTAGGCTGGTGAGCCCGAGTGACCCACGTCACCAGAAGATACTGGTGCGTTGTACAGGTTTTACTCACTTTCCTCCCTGACGTTGGCTGCTCAGGTACCCAAGTCCTGGGAAATGCCAGTGTGGCCCATTTTTCCACGGCCCAGCAGTTAGAGATGTCCCGATTAAACAATCCAATCAATGCATTTCTCCATCCTTTTCTTTTCCTGTGTTATCAGAGTGGATGATAAAAGATGGTGCCTCTTAGACTGACATACAGAAAGTGCCAGTTATTCCGTGCTGGGGCCTTGCATCTCCCTTTTGCACATAGTCCAACCCTCAGGGTTTCCAAAAGTGACATTGTCAATCCCGTCTTAACTCCCAATCTCCACAGAAATGCCTAAAGAAAAAGCCGTGTGTGATTCCCCAAACCGGAGGCTTGTGAGCACGGAAAGGTTTCGAGTAAACTTTTGCCCCTTGCCTTCCTTGCTAGTTGAATTGTGACTAATCTAATTTTGAGAAAGACTTTTTTCAACAGAACAGGGCAAAATACTATGTTAATAGTGTCCACAGCAAATCATTTCTCATTGTATTCACTTTCTGAAGATCTAAGTGTAGGTATACAGCCCTCCCGTCCCCCAAATGCTGGGTACTTTGTGACAGCTGGATAATGGAAAGCAAATACTTTTATTCCTTTCTCTTCACCAGTTTGCATTTCAGTTTCAGTAAAAACACAAAAGGTGCTCCAACCAGGCTCCGTATCCTACTTTGGGACAGCCAGTTTCCACCCAAGCCTGCTATCTCAAACCAGCCCTCCTGCCCATCCCCATGGTCCACAGCCCACAGATTCATATTCCATGCTTCCAAAAAAACTACCCTCCTGCTGCCCCTCGCCACCAAGGCATCCCCCTGGTGGCAGAGGACTTGGGTCTCCCCCAAACCTTAACGCTCTGGGGCGAGCGTGTGGACTTCACACCTGAGGCACTGCTGTGAGATAGCTCCACACCACGGGGGCTGTGCCGCTCTCGCCATCCACGTCAAGAATTAACCTGCGGCTTCACTTTTAAAATGGTGGGAAAAAAAGCTTTAGGGAATGAGGCAAGGAAGCAGCGAGGTGGAGGAGGCACATGGAGACACCACCACCTCCCCCTCCCTCTGTCAACCTGATGTTTCAGGCCAGCTCTAGCTATCGCTGCCACCGGAGTTAGTGCGGGGAGGAGCAGAGGCAGGAGGAGGGAGGGAGGGAGGGAGAAACCAACAAGGAGCGAAGTTCAGCTGGCCTGCAGGACGTTACCCTGTGGAAAGCAAGAAGAGCAGGGAAATTCCCAGCTCAGGGATGGTCACAGACAAATTTAGGCAGGAGGAGAAAAGGGCTGGGTACACAAATTGCACCCTTCCACAGCCAAGAACCAAGTGCTTTCCAAGTCGTCTGTTTCGGAAGTAGTCACAATCACTTCCTAGCCACATAAACTCATCCCATTTGATTTTACACCTCATGACAGGTCCCCACACCCTTTGGATAAGAGTTTCCCCCTCCGTCTCACAAAAGGAGGGGAGATTTCTCAGGCCAGTGGGCGGGAGAGGGAAGAAAGTGATTTTCTGCAGGTTTCCTCCCTCAGGAATCTTGTTTCCACCCCTTCAGCACACCCAGAGGTAGTTCAGAGAGCCCTGCTTCATCAGATCTCCTCGGCTGGGGGCAGAGCTGGCTGACCGACTGGTTTTCTTTTAACCTATCCCTGTTTGGCGGTGCGGGAGCATGTCCTCACCAAAAAGAGTGCGTGTGTTAACCTCTGTCACGAAGGTACAGGAGGCTAGAGGGAGGAAAGCAGCAGCACTTTACCCCCTGGGTATGTCTCCCCGATTCTGAACCTGGTTCACTTCTCTGCCAGAAAGAACCATCCCACCAGGACTTAGGAAGATGCGGATGCTTCAGCTTCGCTGCAACTCCCTGGCCTCCACAACTGGATACGCAACTCAGATGATTCTTTGGCTCATTGTCCCATGAAGTGTGTTTTATTTATAGGAAAGCGTATCAAATGCAGCTCAGTTGGCTCCAACAAGTCAAAACAAAGGATTTCTCTCTTTTGACGCATGCACGTGGCTTTCAAACACATCCCAAAGACTTCAGCGCCACACGCATCTGTGTAAAAATAAAACTATGGCAGCAGAAACCTACTTTGTTTATACAGAAAACGACCGATAGACTGTTAACCACCACACCGTGCCAGAAGGACACTCACTTACATGACCGTGGGGCTACAGTTAATAAAAAAAAGGACCGAGAACCCTGACCCAACACCCGCGCAGGAAAATCGGCACCAAAGAAGTACCTTCCTGCTGTCTTCGGTTGCTACGTTAAGGAACTGCCCCCAGAGAAAAGCACCGTTCCAAAGGGGCTTGACTACCAGAAAATGGTAGTCATTGGTTTGACTACCAGAAAATGGTGGTCAAAATGAACGTGAATTTTCAAAGTGCTACAATCATCTCCAGTCCAAACTCAGTCCAACTGAAGGAGGAGAAAGAGCGATGCTATTTACACAGATGAGCTCCAGCTTGTACGTCGTCCTCTAGCAGAGAAGTCTGAAAGCAAGTTACAACAAAACCCACAAGAAAAGCCACGTCCATTTTGTAACCTATAATTTTTAAATATAACATTTTATTGCTTAGATGGTTTGATACAGAACAACTTTTACTTTTTATTTTGAATTTGGAAGTACTGTACAACTGAATAAAAAGATGAATAAAAGTACCAAAACAAATGTGTGATTCTCTGTTCATGTGGCATAAACCAGTCTTGTACACAATTCGTAGCAGCAGTTTAAGTTCCCTTTAGAAAAATATGAATTCTACACATTTAGTACTGTTTCCTGCATGGGATGAAATCACTAGGATTAAACTTCCTTCGTGGAGAGAGAGAAGAGAAAGGAGACACACAGAGAGAAGAGAGAAGATGAAGAATCATTCTGAAACGGAATCAGACCGTCACATAGCCCCCAAGAGTTATTTCACAACAGCCTCAAACAAGGTTCTCTCTTTTTTTTTTTCTTTTTCCTTTGTTTATTTTTTTTTTTTGCGCTTTCACAGTCAAGTGCTTAATGTAGTGATTGAATTATCTCAATGTTAAGTCCATTGCAACTCAGGCAAAAGAATTTCAGAAGATCCTTTTTTGTTTGTGTTTTTTTGTTTTTTGTAAAAGCCCTGAGAGAGGAGAAAAAAAAAAAAGATTCAAACAAAAATCGTATAGAGACAAATTAGCTGAACATGCAAACTAAAGCCTAAGATTCACCCATAGTTTAAACACATTATAAATTTCACAGTTTAATATTGGGGGAGGAGGGGAAACAAAAAAACCCAACAACAGCAACGGTTCTCAGTCAAACTCAACTAATAAAAATGTCAATAAAATGTGGCAAGATCTTATACTCTACTAGGATATAGATAAAGGCTAAATAAAGCTTTAAATCAATAGTGATTATTGCTAGCAGATGTCCCGGCAGGCTGCTGGGAATTAATTACTTGCTACATTGTTCTGCAGCATATAGTTTAGTAATGGCTTCTCCCCCACAGTATTGCGCAGTTTAGTGTGGAGAGCTGCAAAAAAAAAAAAAAACCAAAACCAAAACAACAAAACCAAAACGACGAAAACCAAAAAATACCCAAAATAATAATAATAATTATTATTATTATAATTATAATAGTAATAACAATTTAAGGGATGCGTGAACGGGTTTTAATTAAGTAGAATGCACCTGGGTAGAGTTTCAAATGAATCATTGGTTGCGATTGATTTATCTATATCTGGCGGTAGCTTCGTTTCTGAACTGGTTCAAACATCCCTATTTAAAAAAAAAAAAACCAACAACAAAAAAAAATAGAAATCACATATACCTCAACCATTTTTTCTTATTCTATCTGCAAGAATATTACTCGAGAACGTTTCTCTTCCTTTGAATTCCGGACAGTGAGATTTCAGTCTCCAGAAATTTTTGGAGAATTTTTAATATAGATATAGATATATATAGATATATATATATTATATAATATAGACTGGGTCCGAGGCCCACTTCCTCCATGTCTGGTGAGAGCAGGAAAAGCGACTCTGCGGGGGGGAGGGAGGGAGGGTCACAGTGCGGGCTGGGCTGGGGGGCTGCGGTGGTGGAATAGCACAGTGAGGCTCCGGCAATGCTATTATGGCTCTGTCTGTCCCAGAGGTCATGACTGAAGGACAATGAACAAACAACAACAAGGACAACAACAACAAGGACAACAAAAATGCTGGGCACTCCTAAAAATGCACAGCTACAGTAGGATACATTTCGCTTAACCCCTTCAATGTCGGTGGCCGGAGTGTCACCTGTTGCCGGCAACAGGAGCCATACGGAGAAATTCCAGCCGCCAGCATTAAAGGGGCCGAAGTATTGATATGAAATTTAGACACACACCTCAAGTCTTCAAGCATCAACCCCAAAATCTCAGGAAGAATTTTTTTTTAATTTATTTTATTTATTTTTAACATGTCTTATATCTGTAGTTTTATTTACCAGTAGTATTTTCTTGCTCTAGAACATGACAGTAGCAAGATGACGGTAAGGCTCGCGTTTCTCTCCTGCTTGCTTTCAGCTGGAAGACGGAATAACTTTGCTCTTTACGTAACACACGCTGTCACCGATGTGTTTGCAACAAGATTAATCTAGAACTCGCAGTGCCTTTCTTATGCACTTGGAGGGGCTTTACACGGCCCCGTTCTCGCACGCTTCTCCCCCCAACACACACGCACGCACACGCACCCACACGCACGCACTCGCACCCCACCGCGAGTGAGATGTTCCCCTGTACAGGCGTGGTGATACCTCGCTGGCCTCCAATCGACTCTCCGGTCAGAGGAAGGGTTTCATTTAAAGTACAGTAGAAGAGCTGCAACATAAGAAGAGGAGCTGGTGAGAGCGTTAAGTCAAAAACATTTCGAGAGGGGATCCAAGCTGCGTTATACATCTGCGTGGGCAAATATTGCCCATTGGTTTCTGCTGACTGCAGAGACAAGCGAACTGACGGATTTATAAAATAATAATAAAATAATAATAATAATAATAATATACTGAAGCAAATCAAACATATATAACAGCGGGTGCATAATTTCCATAGGTTACGTTGCTATGTAACTCTTCTCTGTACACACGCTCAGTCCACGATGGCCAGAAAACCCCCCTAGGATTTAGAAGACCATTTCTAATGCTGAAAAGTGGAAACAAGCGTGAGGTTGAAATTTGTTGTGTTTCCTGCTTTTGGCTTGAACCACTTTGAACACCTTCAACTGCCACGTTGTTCAGGCCTGGAACAGGCTTAATGCTCCACCGTGTGGCAAATGCAAGAACATCTACTGAGAAAAAACAATACATCAACATCTCATCTGCATTTCCTCTGACTTTTTCATACGAAATTCACATAATTTTTCTTCCAGTTATTGGCTGTGGTATCCAAGGGCCTCCCACCCCACCGCCCCCATTTCCAGCTCAGAGAACAAACACAGCGACTATCACAGATATACAAGAACAAGCTCACGCACACCAATACAAAAGGTAACATTAATGCTTAAATGAAAAAGGTCCTCTCCAAATAATTCATTAAAATATTAAAAAAAAATCATTTTTGAAAAAAATCTATGATACCAAAAGATCTAATAAAGTAGTAAGGCACTCAAATCAGTATATACTGTAGTCTCTTGCATTATTATACCGAAAGGCATATGGCACCGCGTCCAGTCTGCCATACTCTCCCCACAGCTGTAGCTCGCTCTTCCAAAAACAAAGACTCCAGAAACCTTGCTCTGCTGGCTTCAGTTTGAGTGCTGGGACGGGTCCAACCTCCTAGCCAGTCATTCAACCCCCAAGAGCTGAGGCGCGCTGTCTGCAGAGGCAAGGATGTGATTCATGGGAGACTTTTTGTTGTGCATCTCCAGCAAGTCTTGGATGAAACCCGAGGGCCTCTCGTGCTCGGAGCTACCCCGAGGTTCCTGGTCTTTCGCTGCCTGTTTCTGTGCACTCTTGGTGGGCTCCGCAAGGCAGGTGCCGGCTCCTCGCCCGCTTGGCCTCTCCTCTCTGCAGGGGGAGTCCTTGACCGTGCCAGCCAGGGACTCTTTTCGGCTTCCCATGAGTGACGCATGGCTACCGACGCCCCCCGCGGAGTCGCACTCGTTTTCTGAGATGGGGTTGGTGCCACTGTGGCTAGACTCATTTTCGCTGTCTTCTCCGCACCTCGACTGGGTCTCTTCCCTGTCGCTCTCTTTCCCATGGTTTCGGGCATTTTTGACTTTCTGGTGTATGCGCTGGTGACGAACCAGGCTGTGTTTCAGAGTGAAGGTCCGTTCACAGGTTTGACACTTGTACGGTCTCTCACCTAGAAGAGAATTAAAATACAAAGTCAGCCGCAAGGTCACAGACGCACCTTCCTCTTGTTTCAAGCAGTGTACGATGCTCTGCACTTCGGAAATTCAGTACCTACACCAAACATGGATGTCGCATTTATGCTGATTTTTTGCTTCTGTACTAGCAAACTAGCGGATGGCATGCAAGCAGGAATACAGATAAATCCCTTGGGGCACAAATTAAAAACCAAAACTAAGTGTCTTGAGATTTCTACAAGCTTGGTATGGCCCTGCACTAAGAAGGGAGGAAGACCATAAGCCCCAGGTGCTCGCTAGCATCCCATCTAATTTAGTCAGCAACTCTTCTGGAAGAAGTTTGCCGTCGACCTCTGGAGCTCAAAAGCCTTTGTGAAATCAGCCCACCACGGGGGCACCCTGCTGCAGGTCAGCCCCTGATGCACACGGAGAGAGAGGACTTGAGATGGAAGGATGAGGATACTGCCCAGGTAACTGTGGTCAACAGCACTTAAAAACTGAACCAAACAGGCACATGAGAAAACATCTCCCTCTCTCTTAGATGCTGACAGATGGGCAAGCATGAAATGCGCAAGTTAATCACCGAAGTCGAAGAGAAGCTGTCAGGGATTACCCTTGCTACAACAGCCCCCCCTCTTTCTGTGAAGCGGAAGCCAGTATCACCACATTTCAAAACGGACACAGAGCAGCTAAAGGACCTAGACTTGTCAGGCATTCATGGGACACAGGAGGTGTCTGTTAGAGGTGATCAAAATTTACTGACCGAGTGAAAAACGCCTGCCTCGGGATGTTATTTACAGAGCTGCTAGTGTTCCTCAGCCTACTGGTGCTTTAGGACAGGAGCGACATGTGAAAGCCCCTGAAAAACCTCTTCACGCCCATTCCACAAATGCTACTCAGAGGACAAAATTCTTCCTCTTATTTTGCAATCTTAAGCCACAGAGCAGCTGCAGGCATCCTCTGCTTTAATCAACAGGTAGTCTGCTCCGATCTCAGAGCTGCTTTTTGCACCTGAAATGCTTGAATGCTTTCCTAAGCATGAGCTCATCAGAAAACAAAGCAACCACAGCCCCACAGACAAAATTCACCCAAAGTCCCAACCAAGCACAGTGCCCCAAGGTGCTGTCTGTCCTGAAGAACCGAAGGTCCCACCCTGACCACTTCATTCTCCATTTCCGATTGCACCTATTAAAGATTTTTCAGTGCTGCAGTTCCATCAAGACACCCATCTTGTGCCAATGAGCATACAGAACAAGACACTTGTGGCTCATTTCTCACTTGTAATAATGCTTGGGATCATTAAAAGAAAACCAGTTACAAACGTGAGGTGGCTGGCTGAAATGTGCAAGTAGGTCCTGCCGGCTCTGGGAAGCCTGACGCTTCTTAGAAACATTTCTCTCCGGTGCCTTACTTGGGCATCTGCTATCAAGGGAGGGCACGGCTCCCCGGGACCATTTTTGGCCAACAGCCTTTGCCCATCCGGCACTTGGCTGTGGCCGATGCAGCACCATGGCTCACCCTGTGCTTGGGCAGGCGGCACCAGAGCACCCCACAACTGTTTGCTGGGAAGCAGCCTGCACCAGGAGAACAAAACATTTCCAGCCCAATTGCCATTCAGTAGGCAGGCAGAGGTTTCTTGCACACTTCAGCATGTCCCAAACGTTCCTCTTCTGAGTAAAGAAATTCCAAAACCTTACAGTTATCTTTAAAAAACCCCACACATTAAAACCAAGGTATAAGCAATGATATAATACCTGACAGTATTTTGCCAATATAGCTGAACGAGTGGAAAGGAGACGAGGAGGAGAGTCAACCCACAGTATTGAGGCAAAATCCTCAGTTGAAAATGTGCTGATTTAACAGCGAGGATAGGTGGTATTTACATTTATTAAATTTGAAGAAAGCGCTGACCCAGGTTCCTATCCAACACCTATTCTATGTTAAAACGTCCTCCAGTGGCAAACAGAGAAACAAACGGGGGGAAAAAAGCTCCGACAAGGCCTGCATAGCTCTGCATGCAATGAAAACGATTAAAACATATGGTATGGGAATCGCCACGGGCACACACCAGTGTATCACTTGGGGGTAAAGCTCAGTACTTTCGGTATTAGCATCTTTCCAAGACTTCCGAATTTAGTATGAAAATAGGCACAAGAATGGGACCCATCCCCCATTTCACTTGTGGCTCAATGCCAGAAGAAAACGGGTCAGTTCTGCACTCAAGAGGGCAATATTTATGATTCAGAATGGTAAAAAGTTTGGTTAAGGCACTTGTCTTTGGTGTAGTTTATTAAACACCACCATCAACTACAGCACAAATATTTCGTTAATCACAAAGATCTCGTCTTCAGCAGAGAGCACCTTCAAAAGATACAAAATGTCAAACTGCACCCATCTTCCCGTGTCAGAGCAGCTTGCTGACAGGTAAAATGCATCATTAATAAGGATGCATTAATCAAGATGAGTGATTAATTCACCTTTGAGCTGGCTCATGGCTTGATCTCCTTTGCATGGTACTGCTGCAAACTGTGTATCGCATAAAGCGATCCCACGTATTTTAACTGCCGAGTCAAGCCATCGAACAAGCGTTTTACTACCTGCGTTCCAGCTTCCCTGCCAAAGCCTGAATGAAAAGCAGGGTGCCCACTGTAGCTTTGCCTTTCACTCAAGCAACAGGTCACGCAGATCACCAGCGCATTACCCGTACCAGGCTTAGATAATCAGACAAAACCAGACTCTCTCTCTCTCTAAACTTTCACTCAGAGATGAAGTCTTATCATATACTGCCAAGTTTCTCCACTGCTCGTCAAAATACCAGGAAGAGGTAGAGCCACACGCACATGACAAGAAGGGAGTCAGGAGCTGGACAGAACAACTGCCCATGGGTCTCCGTAGCTGCTCTCACCTCTAAACTCTGTAAGCAAGCATGGGGAAAAACAGTTTGGGAATTGAAGATAAGGCAGTTCTGACAATTCCCGCTCCTTCGACAGGCTTTATATGCAGCATGGGGGATTGGGGCAGAGAAGACACCTTGCAGATACCTGTAGGACTAAAAGCAGTGTCTCCAACCTCAAGTGCTAGCAGCAATCGTGCACCTACAGAGCAGATGCCCGAGTCTGGTGGCAGACCTACTCGTAATCGTAATCTGTTCTGCCCTCAAGTCTCCTCTTACCTGTATGAGACCGCATATGTCGCGTCAGATCTTGCAGAGACCAGAAACGCTTGTTGCACACAGTACAGACTTTCTTTCTTTTGTCTGCTTTTGCAGTACTCTTAGCCCCATCAGTCTTTGGTTTTCTGTCATCACTGCTCTTCTCAGTGGACTTTCTCTCTGTGCCTTCCCCCTCAGAGATGCTTTCGCTCTCTTCATTCTCCTTTCCTGTTGCCTCACAGTCCACAGGAGACTCCACTACCTTCAAGTCCATCGGAGACTCTTCCTGCTCAAGACCAGAGTCCTGCATCAAGGGAGCTCCTGCATCATCCTGAATGCTTTTGCTTTCATCCTCACTGCTCCTTTCATCCTTTCTGTCCTCACGAGAGTGGGCCTTTTTGTGACGGCTAAGAGTGCCAGCAAACTTGAAGGTTTTGCCACAAATGTCACAGGCATGTTTCCTTTCAGTCTGAGAACTCCTGCCTGCACTCTGGTCACTCTCTGCCAGCTTGAAGTCCATTAATTTGCTGGCAAAATTGAGGTCAAGACTTTTGTTACTTACAGAATCTTCCTCAGGGCCCTCTTCGTATCCATCCGCTTTTTCTTCGGCATCCTCTTCTGCCGGAGGGGAGTCAGCCTTTTGCTCCTCCTTGGGGCCGCACTCACTCTCTGGTAGTTCTGTTATTTCCTCTGGCTGTTCCTTCTCGCAGGAGGTCAGGTCCAAGACTTCGTTTCCTGTGGCTAGCGTCTCCGCATCAGACTGGCTGTCTGCAAGCAAACACAGAGAAACTTTCAGTGGGATGCCCTCTGCTAATTCACAACTACCAGCGGTAAGGCTGCACATGGACCCACGAGCATTGCTTCCGATCAAGCATCCCAACATCTGTTTCTCTTATCTGTGACCCAGGCCAGTAACTTACAGCTGAAGAGAGATCAAAACACCACAGAACCCAATTAACAAGATGATTAAAAAATATGTAACCAAATGCTTTATTTTTCAAAGTACACTCACTTTCTCGGCAGTTTCTTGAAGTCACTTTTAATATAATCACTTTTACCAGAGAATGCAAAATGCTGACACATCAAAGAAGAGTTGAGATCACTACTATTACAAATACACCGTACCAGAGACACATGGATGTATTATTTAGAATATTTCATGTATGAAATTTGGATATAGATGGAAGTAACATACAACCAGATATTAATCAAACTAACTTATAAACCATAACTAGTGGGAAACGCTTTTCAAAGGGAATGTAAAGGCCTCATGCAACCAACTGGTACAATTAAATGTTAAAAGGTAGCCCAGGCAGTAACACAGAGGTCAGTTTAAAAAGTTGGATATACATCATATAAGCAAAAGATGCAAAAGTTTGTCCACAGGTGGGTCTTCAACACACACCAAAACATAAAAGCAAAGATGCAGTAACAGGCAGCATCCTTCGCTGTTTCACAGTTCCCCCAACAAGAAAGCAAAACCCACCTAAGACATCCACCTTAATGACCTCCTCTGCTTCCTTATCAGTTTGTAGCATTAACATTGCTGAAGACATAACATGTGCCGAAAAAAATAAAACAGATAAGGCATTTAAGGAGAACAAAGGGCTGGAGCAGTACCCCTTCCAAGCTCTATACAAATAGTGTACGTGTAAATAGGAAATAAGCTGGACTGGATCTGGAGGCCAAAGCTGACGATGATGCACAGCATGTAACTGCATCCCCGGTGCCACTTTCCAGCAACCGTTCCAGGGCATGAACTTAGCAAGTTGTGCTTTCTGAAAATTGAAACTTTCCTTGCTTTAAGTCCTCCTCTCCACCCCCTTCTTGTTGACAGCATGCAGCCAAGGGAGCACACAACCTAACAGGCATTTCAGCGTTCATCTGCAAGCCTGATAGCTGCTGAGTAACTACAGGGATTTAGAAACTCTAGTAGAGCAGTATAAGTTCTCCGTTTGACAGAGTACAGTATGTGCTTGTCTCCGAATTGCCTAGATTTCCTATTACAGGCTTTTTTCATAAGCAAGGAGTAATGACAGAAGAAAAACAAGATAGTTCTCAGGCACTTAGTAGTTCGAATGCAACATAACTTGCGTTGACCCCATCTCCTTGTACAGATGATAATAAATGGCCATTAAACAAATGTCAAAGCTAAGCAGCATTTCCAGTAATCGTGAACAATCACTTAATAGAGCATAATCCTCGAGGTGCTTTTTCTTGGCGGGGGGTGGGGTGGGTGAGGGGAGTGGGGGTGAAAAGGGGAGAAGTGACCTGTCAAAAAAAATAATCTCACCTTTTAATCAAAACAGATCCATTTACATAGACAGTGGATTACACAAAAGCTTTCCACAAAGTTCATTGCTCATCTAATTATCTGCCTATTAAAACACGCAACCGAGCCATAATCTGTGTATAATGCTAGAGAATTTGAGGATGTGGGTATCTGAAAACAAAGGTCACCTACACGTGCCCTATGAATCTGCATTTGAATTCTGTGTTTGACTCATTGCTTATCTCTTGCCTATATTAAGGCAAAAAAAAAAAAGCTATTATAAACAAAAAGAGGTAATTTCTAAAAAACAAGCTGAAATGCCGATGCATAATAATTAAGGGGAAGCACTAGTCCACAACCCAGAGAAATAGGAGCCAGGCACGTGTGAGAAGCCGGACCCATGCACAATGCTCCTGGATGAAAAGCAGGTAGCCGAGTCTCGTGGCTGCCGGTGCAGGCAAGAGCGTGAGCCCAGAAGCCAAACCCAGGCTGTATCTACACAGGGGATACGTTTAAAAAGGAATCACGGCTATGGGTTCCTGCCTGCCACCTTCTTCCACACACTGCGTTTGGGGCAGGATGAGCGCATGTGGCTCTCACTGGCAGCGCCTCACCTTGACCCGAGAGTGGGGATGAAAGGAACGATTAATGGCAACCAGTGTGACTCCCCACTGCTGCTGAAAGGGTCCTCGTCCTTTCCTGGCCACCCACTCCTGCACCAGCCCTTGCACAGCCCTAACATTCACACAGCTGCGCAGTGACCGGGGCCTTTTTCACCAGAGCACGGGTTTATGTTGGACTGAATCGACCCCGTAACCACTGCTCCTTCTAGGCTAAGGGCAGGAGGGAAAGGAAACAACAGGGAAGAGGAGTTTCCTCCCCAGCAGCCTTTGGTTGCTACCATTGCAAAGACCCATCTGTGGATGGCAGATGAAGAGACAAAACTGGAGTGGCAAAGTGGGTCTGAGGCACAAAGACCTTGAAGCGACACCAACAGAAAGCACCTAAAATGGCTGCCGTACCCCCGCCGTCAGTGCTCATCCTCAGCAAGGTGGGGGGCACCTCCCAGCAGGCGTGGGTCACCCTGTCCCATCAGGAAACGCTCCCCCGAGGGGATATGCGTTAGGCAGGCCAAAGAAAGACTGCAAGCACAGCATGGAGGGGGTTCATCAGGGAGCTGGGCAGGAAACCATGTGAGCTCTGTTAGGATGGAGAGGAGTGAAGAGCACGAGGAGACCGAGATGGAAGGAGCTCCTCTTTTATCGTACCAAGAGAGATGTTTTCTAATTCTTTGCTGACCAAACAGAAGACAGCGGATGCAGAGTAAGTTGGTTTTTCAACATGAAATATCAGGAGCAAAGCGAACGAGGGGAATATACACCAGTAGCACTCAAGTAAGAGAAAACCAAAACCAAAACGTTTTAGAACACTCAAACGCAAAAGCCACAACTTTTATGTTCAACATGTTGTATATCGTGTATGATTTTCCATTTTTCCCCTATTTTCCCCTAACTTTTTCTTGTTATGCTTTCATTATTTCCAAAAATATAAATTTATATTTTTCTTACAGTATACTTCGTATTTTTCTTATAGTATACTCATCCTTCAATGAATCGTACCCAAACTTTATCTCCTTTTTTCCCCTCCTCTGTGCCCTGGGCCCCTTCCCAGCTGTTATGCTGTTCTTGCATGGCTCGCCCATAATTACATTTCCTGTGCACGAAAGACACAATCCAAGGGATAGGTGGTCCACAGGTAAGTGATGTTGCCTTACTAGCACAGGCAAACAGACGAGGTCAACATCAAGAAAAACAAACGCAAAGCTTAAACAACGTGGCTTCATGAAGGGCAGAGACCACTTCAGACCCCGGGAGCACGGATGCACCACAGGCTTTCTCTTCCGAAGCCGGCCCGCCACCCTTGAATGAACACATTCAAAACTTAGGTAGGGACGTAGCCAGGAACGTGCTGACACGCGTACGTGCTTGGGTGAGCGCTCTTCCTCCTTACCTGCACAAACCAGACCTGCCATTTTCTTTGTCGAGAAGGAGTTTCACAGGCCCCTTATGAAACTTCATGCATATCGTAAAGTGGCAGCTCCCGACTAGTTGAGCTGCTCTGTGGTTACCCCAACCTGCACAGTTGGTTTCGCAGCTGGTGAAAAAGCGAGCTGCTTTGCACAAACCCTGGCTGTTTGGGGATGGGTGAGAATCAGCCCAGCTCCGCTGCAGCTGAACTGGAAGAGCAGCAGGGGAGCTTTGAAGGTGTGTGGGAAACACGATGGTCGTGATGACAGCCATGTCGGGTCTGGTGCAGGATTTCTCCTGCAGTGCAAGGGATGGCTGCAAGGGTAGTCTCGCACTGGCAGCCGCTCCATCCGCTCCAGCAGAGGTTAGGCTTGGCCTACACTACTGGTTTTCCCCGGCTTACATGCCTACCTGCAGCAACAGAAAACCTTGCCGGCCACACAATTCCAGCAGGCTTGTATCTTACACAAGGAGGAGGATTTTGACTGAGCATTCAAATCGGGGCAAACATCCCTGCAACGAGGCCAAGCTCCTCTCAGACAGGTAATTCCCGTTTCCAGAATTTTGCTGATTTACAGTGCAGAGCAGCCACTTGCATCCAGGCAGTGACGAAGGCAAGGTGCGTGAGAAACGCCTGCCATTTCTTTCACCCCTTTCCCATCTTTCACTCACGAAGGTTGTAAAATGCTTTCTGATCTGTTTGTTATCCAGATATTTACACTTGGTGGGTCAAGAGGACAAGAGCGGAGAGATCTGCTTGCCAAGGTTCCCACCCACTGCCACTTCTTCAGCAACTGTGGGAGCAGAATACATTACCTTGCCATGGACAACCAGAGTTTGTGTCACTCCTCTGAAGCGAGGATGAGAAGGTGACACTATTTGATGATGTCAATTTTGACACCGAAGTCAAAGAACATGGGCAAGGGAAGGGAGAGAGAGGGGACGAGCAGGGAGTTAAGGACATACGGAGGAAGGCAACACGAAGCAACCACTGGTAGTTCAGCTGCTGCCTCGTCAGCTCCTGGGAAAAAACGAACTTCTCAGGAGATATATTCATAAGCAAAACCTCAAGGACTCCATCTGAGAATCCAAAAACTTTTCCACTTGCATGAAAGAAACCACTATATAGTTGTAGCCAAAATCATTTTCCTTCAAACTGCGGAAAGAAAAGACTGTTTCCCTGAAGTCTATTTATAATTCAAGTTGCAGTTTTCAGTCAGCCCAGTCAGAAGAGTCCACTTAATCTTTTATAGGTGGCAAGAAAGAAAAAGAAAGATGAGTAAACTGCTTTCCTGCATAGACAAACCAAATTATCAAGAGAGACACCGAATGTGGAAAGTTTCACATAAAAGAGCAGATACAGGTGGGGAGGTTGCTGGTTTGATTCTGTTTTCCTGTGGCTTTCTTTTTTCCTGGAACTAAGGTGGAATAGAGAGTAGAGCTTGAGATGCTAAGGAGTTATTAGATAA